GAACTGAAGGTGCAACATGGACAGAGTTGTATCAGAGAACCAAACATTTCCATCAGTCAACTCAGATGACCACAACAGCCTCCCCCTCTCCTCAGATACCCTTACCTTTTCCTAGAGCTGAGGTAGTTCTCACAGGAGACACGAATCAACTCTCTTTTGTTGGCACCAGCTCTCCTGCTGCAAACTAGGAGTTGCCTTTAACCTCACTGCAATCACACAGTATCATCACAGACAGCCTGAAAAGGACCCAACCATCTAGACCCAATTTTCTCCCCAAGGATGCAGCAACTGCACTTTGATCATTCCTGCCACATCCATCTATCCTGACCTAGAACATCTCTCCTGCAACAGTTCTGCATTGCCTGCCAGTGCAGTCTGCTCCAGCATCCTCCTCCCTGACTCATGACAGACTCCTGTCACCCTGTTCTTCAAGAACCTCTTATCCAGAAATTGATTCCAAGGACATCTCTGAAAGATGGGAATGATCCCATTTGTAGCAACTGGTGTTCTTTCATTTCTTGCACTGGAACATGACTCAAAGTACATAATTACTGAAAAGATGTTTATTTTTTTCCCTTTCCAATTACCTGGAGATGGAAGGCAGACAGTATGAAGTATAAAAACAGCAATAAATAATATGCAAAATGCAAGCCTATCTTCTAACAGATAACTTGGGAGGAGGGGAGAGAGAAATGCATTTGACAGAATCACAGGATCACGGAATGGTAGGGGTTGGAAGGGACCTCAGGAGATCATCTAGTCCAACCCCCTCTGCCAAAGCAGGTTCCCTATACCAGGTTGCACAGGAAAGCGTCCAGGCGGGTTTTGAACATCTCCAGAGAAGGAGACTCCACACCCTCTCTGGGCAGCCTGTCCCAGAGCTCTGTCACCCTCACTGTAAAGAAGTTTTTCTTAAGTTTGTGTGGAACTTCCAGTGTTCCAGTTTTTGCCCATTGCCCCTTGTCCTGTCACCAGCCACCACTGAAAAGAGTCCGGCCCCATCCATTTGGCCCCCACATTTCAGATATTTATAGACATCAATAAGATCCCCTCTCAGTCTGCTCTTCTCCAGGCTGGAGTCCCAGCTCTCTCAGCCTCTCCTCGTAGGGCAGATGCTCCAGGCCCCTCATCATCTTTGTTCCTTCTGTGACCTTTCTATACATACCCATTTCAAGGCCCTTCCACACTTTGCTCTCCAGTGAGCACTTTACTTTCCCTTTCCCTGGAGTCCTCCATTACCAGAGGTCTCCCCTGTGTGGTCTGCAGCGTTCACAGATGGCTGAAATGCTGCACCCACCAGTCAAAAATGTGTGACCTAAATCAGCTCATGCAGCTGCTTCAAAGACATAGTTGACTTCCGTAAAAATGCCACCCCAAGCCACCAACCCCACAAAAGCCACATCATTCTCCCCAGTCACCCACGTGGGGTGAAGTCCTCTCCTGCTATTCTGTCAGATGTCCTCGTCTGAGCACTGGCACCAGCAGCCCATCACCGAGATCCATTTCAAACCCTGAGGAGCCCCACCACCAGCTCCAGCCGTGCATGGTCTATAGACTAGGTACAACAGGAAGAATGATGTCCTTCTGGGCCATTGACTTCACCGAGTTTCTCTGTATTTTGAGTAAAAGGCCTCAAGGGCCTGTCCTGGCAATGGCTTCTGTGAGGGCAGCCCAGACCATGGGGCCTGCCGCAGAGCACTCCGGAGCTTCAGCCACATGGTTCTCATCACAACTGCATCAAAGTGAGGAACTTCTTAAATTGTAGATCACAGAATCACAGAATGTCAGGGATTGGAAGGGACCTCAAAAGATCATCCAGTCCAAACCCCCTGCCAGAGCAGGAACCTAAATGAGATCACACAGGAAGGCGTCCAGGCGGGTCTTGAATGTCTCCAGAAAAGGAGACTCCACAACCTCCCTGGGCAGCCTGTTCCAGTTAAAACGTAGGCCCATATATGGAGTAAGTTTTCCATTTCCAAATGTTCTCCACAATTTATTTTAATCAAGCTTAATTTCTTAAAATAATGACTATCCCTCTATACAATTTCTTAAAATGCATTTTGCATATGTTGGCAGTAATTCACACACATAAATCATTCAACTGCTAACCATCTATGGCTTTGAAAGATACTTAACCATCATTTCCAGGAGGATTTCATAATAATCTTTTAATTGCCATATTACTAGAATATATTGAAGCTCAGAGGTGGTGAGAGATTAAGCCTCATTTTCAAAAGTTCCCACATGCACAGCGACATTCTCTTTCCTGCTAAGTACATATGAGCTATAGATCTTTTACATGACAGCCTAGTAGCTTTGAATTGTCACTTCATTTGCATTCATTTGCTCTTTCTGTTACAAAACTACCATGTAAAAAGAAAAAAAAAGAAAAAAAATGCATATGAACCATCCTCTTCTCCAACCTTTAGTATTTTGGTAACAGCAGTATTGGAGATACTAACAAAACATTACAAGTCAGGGAGAAAGCACTTAACTGCTGGGCCTTTCTGAATACTTAAGGCTATCAAAAAATCATCATTTGAGTATGAGGCCTTAGGGAGGATTCACGTGCAACTGCTCAGGATTTAGATGCACTACTGTGAGGAGAGCATACCAACATGCGTGACTGGCCCCAGTCATAGTCATGGTCTCCTGATACTGCTTTCCACTTCTATAGCATTGTGCATCTTATCAGCTAAAGCCCACTATAGGCTTGAAAGTAATCTTTATTTTAGCAGTGACAAAACTCCCCTCAGAAACCACTATTACCATCCACAGAGAAAAATACCGAGGTGTGCAAACGGCTGTTTAAGCGTAAGTAATTTAGCATGCCTGTTTGCATCAGCTGTACCTGTCTCTAGAATCTAATCCCACTCAAGAATCACCCTTCCACCTGGTGGAGCTTCAACACATGAATTCTGCTCCTGCAGGTGCCACAGTTACACAATTTATTTATTTAAGCAAACATGGCCAAAGGACATGTGAAAGGCTATGCAAGTGGTGGCAAGGTACACAAGTGCACACCCCAAAACATTCTTGGAGAGTGTGTTACAATTGGGTTGTGGCATTTGGGATTTGGGGTTTGTTATTTTATTAAGGGGGCAGAAGGGGCTACGCTACACCACTTTACATACTGTGGTGGGTTGGCCCTGGCTGGCTGCCAGATGCCTACCCAGCCACTCAGTCACTCCCTCTCAGCAGGACAGGGGGGGAAATGGGATGAAAAAGCTTGTAGGTCAGGATTAAGATAGGGGAGTTTGCTTACCAGTTACCATCATAGAATGGTTTGGGTTGGAAGGGAGCTTAAGGATCATCCAGTTCCAACCCCCCTGCCATCAGCAGGGACACCTTCCACTAGACCAGGTTGCTCAAAGCCTCATCCAGCCTGGCCGTGAACACTTCCAGGGATGGAGCATCCACAGCTTCTTTGGGCAACCTGTGCCAGTGTCTCACTACCCTCACAGTAAGCTGAACATGAGCAAAACAGAATCACCTTGGGGAAAATTAATTTAATTTATTGCCAATTAAGATAGATTTGGGTAGAGAAAATGCGTTCTGCATTACTGTCCTTAAGCTGGTTGAACAGTCTTCCTCCTTTCTTTAATTCTCTCAATCAAATCATACTATAAACCACTATTAGATGTGCTCTCAGTCCCCCAAGACAGCTGAAAAATTCCTTCCCTTCGTGTCGTGAGTATTTTATTTTCCAGTTACATGAGATGGAAAGACATCTTTCATTCTGGAACTCCTTTGATTTCATTTTGCCTTTTTTTTTTATTGCAAAGATTTCCTGATGTCAGACCTTAGGGATTTTATACGACACAAAATTTAGCCTCTAATGGGCTTACAGGTTTTTCCAGAAATATTTCTTATTTTTAAATCAAGTCTTGATATAGACATTATGTCTTCTTTGGAACAAGAATATTTATATGTAGAAGCAATCCTCATTATTTGCATCTCACTTTTTTTATTAAAAAACCCAAACAAATTAAATAAACATCACAAGGAGTGCACATTTGAGTGTAACCACCACACTCCCCTGTACAGGATTTGTACACAGTATCTAGGCACAGCACATATTCATGAGTCAATTGAATCCATCCTGTTTTACATTTCAAAGGTTCAAGTTCAGGCTCTCCATGTTTGCATATCTGGAACGGTATGTTAAACCACCCTCGAGGCCACATTCAAGAAATATTTATCAGATTTCGCACAGAATTTCCAATAAAAACCATGTATAATCAATGAGGAGCAAGTCATTTGGGCTTTAGTTCCACCTCTCATCTTTATAGAGTGGAGAAGAGATGGGCCTTTGTTGCAAGTCCCGGCAGCGGTGACAGTCAGGGCTTTTTTAATTAAAAGGAAAAAAAAACCCAACAACAACAAAAAAGAAAGGAGAATAAAAACAGACCAGCTCTGATATAAATGCTTTAAAAACCCATTTAATTTAAAAACAAGAAGAATCCCAGACCATCATGATTCCAGTATTCAGTCTTCTATTCATATGGGTTTTGGTAACATATATATCATGAAAGAAACTGGGATCTTCATGGAATAGTAAACCGTTGAGGCTAAACCTCCGACTCCTCCCTCTTTGCACTTGTACCACACTGTGGTGAAGCTCTGCAGCCGTTTTTCCCCATCTTATGTTGGAGAGAGGATGGATTTTAACTACGTGGGGACCGAAATGCAGCTCAGAGGCAATGCACTAATCAGTCTTTTTTGGTTCTTCATAAAGTTAAAAATGCCTCTAATAAAAATGATATAAATAACATTCAGTGTCCCATACTGTTCAAGAAAAGGGAAATTATAGCTTTAATGTTCCACTGAGAGACGATGAATACAATTTTCCCCCTCTGAGTTTGCACGCAGTAATAAAATATTGATCTTTATGACAAAACAAGTTAGATTTGTATGGAGAACAGTTCAGGAGGGTTTCATAGCTCGCAGCAATGACAGCAGAGCATATAACATTAAAGATTAAGTGTCAGTTCACTGAATTAATGCCCCAGTGTAGCCAAGTAAAGGGTTCTGCAAAGAGACATAATAGTTTCTTTTCCTTGTTTATGAGTTTCCGAGTCATCATCGTTTAATTTGTCATCTGTACTACTGCAGATCAGTTTGAGATGGGTTATTAACATATCTGGCTCCTGTGCTCCAAGCCATATGTCCCCAATGTAAACAGAAGTCAGGAATACACAAACAGCTGTGGAAGAAAAATTAGAGAAAATCAGAAGATATTATTTTTCCCACATGGTAATGCAAAACCAAAGCATTTTACCTCCAGACCTGTGTTTTAAAATAATTTCCTAACTCTTTTCCTAGATGGAAAATTTGAGGGGTTTTTGCTCATGCAAAGCCAATAATCCTCCTCACACTAAGGAAAGAAAACAGCTTCTTGTTAGCATAATCTTCTGACCTCTTTAAATAAAAAGTGTGAAATCTGACCTGTGGCTTTTGCTATTGAATGATAGCATTGAACAGCATATGGATCAGAACCCACACCCACATGGACTCATTTGTTGCAGACTATTTTTCCCCTTGGAATTACCTTTTTGATACCCCACTGAACTCAATTTTAGTCCTAGAAAGGAAAGTTTCTTTGAGGGAGTATGACTGCTGTACTACCAGAAACCCCTACAGTGCGACCCTATGCTGTGCCACCAACCCCTGTGCCCACACCCACCGAAGACATAGCTTTTACTCTGCAAAGTGATGAGCACCAACGGACTTGGGCAAACTTCAAACTGTTCTGATGAATTACAAAAACCATGGAACTACCTACTTTCTACCATTACCACCTCGTAACGTGAGTGACAAGGAAGAGATGAGTTACCTTTCTTGTTTGTGTTCTCTTCTGCCATTGCTGACAGGCACAACGTTTTCACAAGTTCATGAAAGCTGTTGTTGGTCAGGCCCTGAGCATCCATTAGGTGAAGCATGATTGAACTGAACAAACAGAGCTCTTTAAAGAGTCCGGCTGTCCCACTGCTGGCCTCGCAGATCTGGGTGTAAAACTTGAAGATGTTGGTTCTCAATGTCTTATCCCTGAGTATCTCCTGCACTGCCACTGGGTGTGGCAAGATGCAATTCTGCAGCCACCGCAGAGTTAATGACGCATTTTGCACATTGAGGCTGTGCACAACCATGGACCTTACAAGCCATTTAGTCACTACATAAGTGGATGCACAGGTAAGACTGAGTGTTTCATCTGCAAGGTCAGCACATCTGAGGGGCTCCCCTCCATGTTTGGGAGGCGGTGCTGGGAGAACAGGCTCCCAGTGGGCAAATATGGAATTCAGATGACCTCTGCACTTCTCCAGCTCAGAGACATTCAGGTCTGCAGCAGTGATGTCTTCTCTTTCTATCTCCTTCTTCTTCCGAATGTGATGATAGGCATGAGATGAGGCTTGAGATTTGTACTTTTCTTTAATATTTCCTGTACAAAGAAAAACACCACCAAAACAAACATCAGATACTCCAAAGGATTTTCTCAGTACAAAATTATGCAAGAAAGACAGTATCACATGTTGTTTCAGTTGCTAAAAGGAGAAGTACCAGCCTCATTCAGCATTCAGCAGCCTAATTGAGCACATAAACTTTAGAGCAAATGGGCTGCAGGCAGCTCCCTGTGACTCACAGACCGAAACACCTTTCTGACTGCATCAGCCTAACTTTGAGGTGAGCAATGATACCACCCAGGCCCTGGCCCACAGCTCAGCGAAGCCAAGGCAGTATTTCAGAGGTCCACAAGATGCAGTTTTGCCAGTAAGGCTACCTCATGAGAAATGCTCAAGCTGCTATTCTCTGGGCTTGCGGAGGCACGGCACACACCTGCCTATCAGCACAGCTATGTTGCTTGTGCACGGCACAGGCTAAAGCAGCAAAGCCTGCCTGCCTTCCTCCAGCACAGCTGCACCCTGCTGAGTGCCTGGCTGGCAGGGTGCTGCCAACCCAGGGGACGTGAATTTTTCACACCCCAATGGAAGAGACAGGTAGCTGAAATTTGTGACGCAGCGCTGCCCTCCGTTAGATGCTGCCTGTGTCACGGGGAGCAGCAAAGCTCCCAAAAAGCAACGACACTTTGCCATCACCACACATACCACACACAGTATTTTATGGCAATCTGCTTTTTAAGAGTCATTGAGAAAATCGTCAGAAATTTCAATTATGTTGCACTTTGTAGCTTAAAATGAACTAAATATATTTCAGCATTTTTTTTCCCCAGGGCTGTGGAGGATGGGGACAACTCTTGAAATACAACCTCAGAAACAATATTTCAGATAAGGTTCCATTTTTGAAACTCCTCTGTAAGTTCTGAGGCTTGGAGGAACAGATTTTTTTTAAACCACATATACAGTAAATTACAGATGTCACTATAATAACTCTAAAAATCCTCAGAAAGGTACTAAAAGGGTGTGAAAACCTAAAGCTTTTACAGTATCCCTTAAATACAGTCATACTTAAATAATTAGTTTAACTGATACAGAACATTTAAAGAAACCTACAGAAGTTTTAATGTGCACCAAGAGGAGTTGTTGTATGTGCAGGAAACCAGTATTGTTTAACACCTTCCACTACAAAGTTCCTTGTACATTTTATTCACAGAGATAATGAAAGAAGTTGTACAAGTCCAAATGTATTTTTCCTTTCTTCCAACACTGATGACAATAAGAAAAACTTTCACTTTTGCTTGTTTTACTGGTAGTTTTTACTCACATTTCACTTTCAGATCTCACATCCCCACTCAGAATGATTCAAAGTTTGAGCACAAAGCCTCCAGGCACTGGGGGGTTTTTTTAAGATCTAATTCAAGAATACAATTTTTCAAAGCCTGACACAAAATCTACAACTAAGTTTCATTTTAAAGCTCTTCCCCTTCTTAAAACTGTGTTTCTCCAAAGCTTCCAGAATTGTGTTAAAGTTAGAAATCACTGCAATGAAGACCTGAAAAATGTCTTTCCGTTTCCATGCCTCCTCCCCGCCAAGCTGTATCAGACTGTCTGACAAAAGTTATTAATGCTACTTCCTATGAAGTTTGCCTCACTTGTATGGTTAGCTTGTAACAACAATATTGCTTTTCTGAAATATCTTAGTACTTACTAAGCAATTCTTTGATTTGGTATTTTTGAGCAAGAGTCTGCACATCCTCTTGCAGTTCCAGGTCTTTTTCAACGACGCTCCACTTATGCAGCAGCAGGAGGATCTCTTTGTTTGAGAGAACGCTGTCATTCACAGTGAACCGGCTCATTTCTTTGAAGGCCTCCACAACTACCGCACGATATTCCAGCACAGAATTGAGTGTGCTGAAAAACTGAGTCAGTTTGGATAGATCTAAATTAGTCCTATGAAAAGAAAACAAAAGCGCCATGTATTTTTCTGCATGCTAATTAATAAAATAAGTACAGGTTTTTTCTCCTTACAGTCTCTTCCTACAGTCTTCTCCTGACATTCTCTAGACATATACTTCTGTTTCTCAGCACACCAGTAATAACTGGTTTCATTCCCACTGAATCCCCAGTGCTTTGCTCCATTAGTGTTTGGCAGAAGAGACAATGAAAAAGTCTTTGCCCTCCTGCCCGTAAACAGCAAAGGCAGATGGCACACAAGGAAACGGCCAGAGGCCTGCAGCTCTACCTGCACTTCTTTATTTTGCATGAATTTTCAAAATTTTGAGGACATAAAAATAAAAGTAGTTTCTCCAGGCTGAGGCAATATTTGTCTGCATGAAGAGCTGCAAGTGCTATTGTGAACTCAAAGAGAACTGGTTACCTATTTGCTTTCTACTATCTCTGCTGCAATTGCTGTGCTTAGACCAGTTATGTGCTCTAGATCTGGAGAGAAGAGACTGACCCCTTCTTAACACTGTTGTGTTAAACTCTGCATGGTTTCTCTTTGTACAGTTTGCACGTGTGGTACAGACATAGAAAGTCTAAGCCTTCAGAGAGTATGATGGATCCTTGCAGCAAACAGCATTGCTAACTGCAGGCTCTAATCCATCAGGAAAAATGTAAAACACAGCAGCTTAAAAATGGCCAGTAATTAAGGATGTAGAACCTGACAGTAACTGTGCATCAGCTGTTGTTTCCCATGTATTCAAACAGCTAAACCTTCCTGTCAAAGAAATCTCATCAAAATTCATGACTCAACATTCAAACTGAAGGGGAAAAAAAAAGCAATAAACTACCAGAGATCAAGAAATTCTTCCGGCCTTAATAAATGTCAAACCGGACGGAGGATGAGATGCAAATTGATTAAAAAAAAACAAACAAAAAAATAAAAAACAAAAAACCCCCAAAAAACTTACCGAATGTGTTTGATTAATGTGATCAAAACATACAGAAATTCATTTACAAGCTGAATCGGAAGAAACTTCCTGTTCTCCTGGGACTGATTCTTGCTTTCTCTCTTGCCTCCTAAATTTGTTAGCCACAGAGTATGGAGTAAGGAAATAATTTTATTTAACAGCTTGTTTTCTAGAAACCTGAAAAACAAAAAAAGAAGCAAACATCCATTTGGAAGGTAGATCCTGACCAGGAACCAGTCCAACACCTAGAGAGGACCATATTCTAATGCATTTTGGAGCCATGAATGGCAAAAGGTGCCTCTCAGCCAGGACCTCATCAGGGCATGAGAGCATGCCCCTTAGAAGCCCCAGCCACACAGAGGCCCTGGTTACTGCCCTCCTCTTACACTGTTCCAGCTGGGGACACTCAGCAGTGTTATCACAGCGCCTGCATGAGACTAGTGATTTCTCACTTGCACCTTTCATTACACAGTTCTGCCAAGTATTCCATTACGTTGCAACCTTGCCACCATTTCTTTGGAGCAGTTACTGTTCAAGACAGCTTGGTACCTTTACGCTCCTAAGACTTCAAGTAATGACAGCAGTGAGCCATATATACTTTGTTATTCTAAGGGGGGGTGTGCAATCTCATTTTTGTAGAGGATGTAAGAAGAATACTTCTCAATAGTAAAACCACAAAATAAGTATTGGGTGCCAGAGGCCAAAACCAGGCTTTTTCACTTCCAAATGAACTGAATTGTACCAAGGAGAGGTGCACAAGGGGAGCAGTACTGGGAACCTGTTCAAGCCCATCACACTATAGATGAAGCAGAAACTTTGCCTGAACCTGTCAGGGGAATCTGTGCAAAACAGACTTCGTGTGTGTGTGTGCATGCACGTGGTACGTGTGCACGTAAGTGAGGGAGAGGCAAGGGGAGAAGGAAGGAGCGGGAGGAGAAATGTTATAGACACCTCTAATTCCTTATTGTGCCAATTACTGCGTAGGAAGCCCTATGACAGGATGTGAATTGTGGGTATTTGAAATGAGTCACACATGCTAAAACAAGGTGCCATTTTGTTTTCTAATTTTTCATTAAAGCATTATCAAAAACATGAAGCTCTCCTCACCATTGTCCTACTACAACCTGAAAGCATCTTGATCATGTTTTTAGAAACACAAGGGAACATTTCAAAGTTGGGTAAGTTCTGTCAGCATGGCCCTAGGTGCCGAATGTCACAGCCGCTGTCAGGCCATCTCCATATCTGTCACCCTTGTTTTCATACTCAGCTGCATAATTATTCTACTGTGAACAATAAAATTGTTCCCATTTCACTAGTATTTCCCTAGTTACCTTTTCTCCAAGATGTGCAGTATCCAGGTTAGGAGGCTGTGATCTTGTATCAGCTCATAGGCAGCTCTGGTGACATGGGCAGCATTTTGTAATATCTCCAGAATATGACTCTGAAACAGAAAATATATTTTGTTCTTTTACAAAATTAGAATATAGTCAGAATCTAATTATTATCAATCTTTAGGAAGGCTATAGTGAGCAATCTGACTGCTGTCTGGGATCTGATCAACTTACAGTCAAAATGTATTACCAAACACCACATGTTCTTAGCAATCTCAGGGAAGAAAACGCATTATCTTTTCCAGGCCTCGTACACACAGATGCTACTCTTAAAAAGAAGTCTTAAGGTAGCAAGACAATCTTCTCTTTTTGTCCAAGATTTGACGCTAACTGAGATATTCTAACAGACTGGAATTCTCAAGGTGGATGCTTATGAACGTGAGAGCTTCTGGCATGTGAGTTTTCTTCCTGCTAAAGCACTGTACAAGTAATATGCTGGTTAGGGAATAAGGAGACCTAAAAAAGCAAAGGCTCTGACTGTATGAGCAAAACTGTGACATCTGCACTATTTTCCAAGAAGCAGCAGAAATACAACTAGAGCCAGACCACCAGTTGAAGAAACTGAGTGAGGTTCCATGATGGCAGGGACCTGTTCCAATTTCAGGGGACAGGGATGTGGCTCTGGTTTAGGCATAAGCAATTATTTCCCCTCCACACATACACAAAATCAACAAGGAAGAGATTTTCAAAAGGGCTAGGGAAGAGTCAACTGCTCCTTTCTGCTTTGTGTTTGTTGAAGATCTCCAAATCATGCAAACCATGCAAATCATGCAAATCATGCAAATCACCCAAATCATGGGTTTGAGTTTGGTGGGTTTGTTTTGGTGGGGTTTTTTGTTTGTTTGTGTTTTAAAAAAAATTCTTACCTGGGAGCCCTCATCACACAAAGGACTGTTGAAAAAGGAAAGAATGACCTGGAAAATCCTCTGGTAGTCATAAAGCTCGTAGCAATGTTTATCACGCAGCCCTTCTCCAAGAAATCTGAGAATCCATTCACGTTCCGTTTTGTACTAGAACCCATAAGAAAAATACCATCATCAGACATTTCAAAATAACACCTGCTCAAAAAGAGGACAAAAAAACTGGTTCCCTGGGAGTGCCAGCACAGTGCTTAGCAGCTTTTTCTGGACTTCTCGATTTTCAGCCCTATCAAATTTAAACAATAACATCCATCAGGAACAGTTACTCTGCAGCCCGAATCTGCACTGATAATGCAACTTTAGAAGTTGCTGTTTCTAAAACACCTCAGTTGAACTCAATGTTAATAATCTAAACTAAAATATGAATGTAACCTAGCTAGGGCAGAACATTCTGTTTATTGTGCTTACGGAGCCCACACAGCACAACTCATAATTTCATTATGCGTTACTACTAAGAACACAACAAAGAAACCTAGAAATAATATTTCTAATTTCAATATGAAACAAAACAAAGATACCTCTAATTAATTACCTATGGGAGAATAAGATCTCATTGCATCTTTATGTCTTTTTTTCTATTATTTTCTGAAGAATTAGTAGATACTTAAGATGGAATTCTTACATTACCTCAAAATCAAAACTGTAGAAAAGCTGGAAAAACCCCGGTACTTTTCTCAGGTCCAAATACTGGTGTGACAGAAGGAATCTGTTTACCTTTACATACATGTGCTCCTCTGTGAAGAGAAACAATGGTTATTGTGGGTGAGGACAACGTTCACGATACACAACCAAGCAGAAAAATAAATGGAACCTGTATTTTACAGTGTTCCAACTGGGTGTCAGACCAGCACATTAATTACAGTCAGGAGGCCTTCTGCTCTAAGGTTGATTATATTGTTGGCCGTCCCTCCTCTTCTCTTCCCTACAGACCAGACATGTCCCCCATGAGCAGTGGAACAGGTTGCCCAGACTACACAATCTCCATCTTTGGAGGCTTTCTAGGATCAGTCTGTAGGTCTTCTGTGGAAAGTGGGCTGCTCTCATAGCTGGCCCTGCTTTGGGCAGAGGGTTTAGCTAGAGAGCTCATAAGGTCTCTTCAAACTGAAATACTCCCCGATGTTAGGATTCTTCTTTGCAGCAGTAGCTTATATTGATTCAGTGTCTAAGGACAAAAGTACACTTGGGCCAACCTAGTCTGATCTGCTGAACAGGACCCACACACTCATCTACTCCTCTGCCCACCTCCACCCCAAAATTTTGAGGTGGTAGTAGCTTCATCCCTGATGGATCAGACCGGTTTTGAACACGAATCAAAATGGCACTTCCTACTTCTCCAGAAAGGCAGTCTACACAAGCACTGGGTTTTTCTTTGAAACACAGGACAGCAGATTTTATGGCTCCTACCAGTGTCACAGCTATCCCATCTTCCAGTATGGATCAAGGACATTACTCCGTGCACAGTAACTCACCCCAGGAGTTCAACATGCACAACAGGTTACAGTACCTGGCTTCAGAATCTGCTGTGCCACACGAGCAATGTAGAGGGTCAAAGAGAAGGTAAATCTGAGGTTCGGCTGACGGATTCCATTTTGCACAGCATCCAAGAGATACAGCAACTGCAGCACAAGAGAAGAGGGGAGAAAACTCTAAACCATAACCCAAACAAATACAACAGGAGAGCATGAATACATACATAAGCTTTTACGACATTTCGTAGGCCATAAACCAAAGACCAATTCCATCAGGATTTCCATTCCTACAAATTAAATTCCCAAGAATTTCTAAAATATACTTTCCTTCCTTTTTCTGACTATTGATTACAACAGGAGGAAACACAAAGCAATAAAGGAGAAACAATGGAACAGAAGATAAAAAGCTGCTTTTAGCTCTCTCACCATGTGCACGTAGGTGGATTAATAAAGCACCGACTCCCCCCGTAAGTGTCCATGACCTAAAACGTTTGTCTAATCTGGCAAACTACCAGCTGAGCTCAGTCTCACCTGACTCTTCTCTCGAAAGCGAGCTCCTTCCAAATGAGAACGAAATGAAGCCAGGACAAAATATGCGGCTGCTCTCATGTTGGAATCATAGCTGCTAAGGGCAGCTACTGTTAGACCCAGGGCGTTGACTTCGACAAACTTGTGACATGCCACTACACACTCTGTGTGGGAAGAGGGAAAAAATGAAAGGAAATCACACAGTGCGTTATATTGACATGTCATGGAGCACACAACAGCACTATAATCCTTAACAAAACTTCTATTCACAAACTATTACTTCACAGCACACTGAAGACTCCTTCAGCCAAAGGCATTCCGCAAATCACTCTGAGCAGGAATCCTTTACCTGAGCTGAAATGAATCTGGTTAGTCTCATTTACGTGGGACAGAGATGATTCTGCCTGCTAGACCATGCAAAGTTAGGAGGAAATTCTGTAAAGACTTATCTCATTGTTTCAGGAAAGTTAAGTACAAAGAAGAACAAGAGAGAAAATTCTCCTCAAAACATTTTCTGGGCACTTGATAAGACTGTGCCTGAAAGAAGGATCAGCACAGCCAATGAAAAGCCCATCTGCAGTAAAGAGCTTCTGTAATCAGACAGGAGAATAATACATGAATAAGCCATGAGCCACACCAGTTGTTACTGTGCAGGCATGAGTGATTCTGCTGGTAAGCAAAGTACTAACCTGTATCCCTATGCCTTTCTGGGACAAAAAAAAAAAAAAAAATCCAGCAATGAACAGGAACCAGCCAAACAGAAAACACAGCCTTGAATCTAAAATTTATCTTCCATAGTGTTTTGCCATCAGGATTTAGAGTTTCTCATTTAAGGACTGCATTTTGAAGAGCTTGTGCCATTTCTACCCACTGATGGCTAGAAATTACTTGATGTAAAACCTCCAGAATATCTCCTGTGCTATTTCTGTTCCATTCTATTCCATTCAGTAACGGAATACAATGGCACCTTTGTTGTATTTTACCAGCTAAACTGCAAATGTATTGTGGTTCTGAGTTTAGCAACAATATTCACATATTTTCTGGTAATTCACACTGAAGGTCAAGAGGAAGTTTCTGAGAAACAAATATTCATATTTAAGAAGAGACTGTAGTCTTACTGACAAATACCTATATTTGGTCCACTGATTTCCTCCCCCACCACTACCCACACACAACTAAAATATATTTATATTTTTAATATATATTTATGTAAAAATCACAGATTATTTATGTTCCCGTACCAGCAGCTGGGCTGCTTCTCTCCTCTCTTCCTCACTGCCAGAACTCCTACTTCAATTTCATGCCTGGCAGTTTCATACCAGCTCAGCTAATTACAGGCCAGGCAATGGGAGGGTCTCCACCTCCCAGCACTGCCTCCCAACCAGCCCACTGCTATGTGACCAATGCAAAGGCATCACTGAATTGCAGTAACAGATCTTTTCAGTGAGTGGTTTTACAA